GCTGGGACCAGCGGGTACCGGAATACTTCACTCGGCCAAGCTTATCTGCATTATGCTGGGTGGGGTGTGAGTGCCGGCGTTGTTGACTCAGGCCAATCTTCGTCGGAAAAAGGCGGGAACAATCAGCGCAGGCCAATTGGGCAACCGTGTTCGTAACTTTCCTTTCATTGTCGTGAACTCGATGATGGGCTACCAAGCCAGCTTTCGATTTGCAACACTTGCCGCATTCCTCACACGTGAACGAGTCTCTCGGCGCCAGATGATTTGTAGTATACATTGTCGAAAGTAACCAGCACATTGAAACCAAACGGGGTGGTTGGCCCTGTCTGGAGTTGCTGAACTCTTAGCTCACCCAGACAGACGTCCAGACTACCCGGTCGGCACCACGAGGAGGTGGTTCAGCTCGCCGACTAAGTATATAAGCCGACTAAGTATGCATGCTCAAAGTATGTAAAGATTCTGGAATAAGAACACGCGTCTAAGGACCAACAACCAACCCGTACTACTACTACTACTGCTACTACTACTGTTATCATTTATTTTTGAAGAGCATGGTCACAAACAGAAATTGAAAGCAAGCGACGAATGCGAAAGGGCAACAAAACAATATACAGTTTTTTTTTGTGGTCGAGAAATACACTCACTTGCAAATCAATTTGCTTTTCACGAGAGACTCAACTGAATCTCTCGTTCATGATATTCTACAACTGAAAGCGCTGCACACAGGCCGCCTCGTGTTTCAGTTGGCACAATACTCGAGATATCGCAGTATATTTTCACAAAGGAAACTACTCACATGGTGGCTAAAAACTCTTCGACAGCCCACGACCAGTTTCGTTCTTCTTGGCACTCATCAGGTAGGCGCAGTCCCCGAATTTCCGCCATCCTAACTATCTAATTGAAACAAAATTGAGCTGTTTTCGAGAAATACACTCACTTGCAGATCAATCTGGTTTTCACTCAACTGAATCCCTCGTTTATGATATTCTACAACTGAAAGTGCTCCACACAGGCTGCCTTATGTTTCAGTAGAATATCATGTAGAATATCGTAGATGAGAGATTCAGTTGAGTCACTCGTGAAACCCGAATTGATTTGCAAATGAGTGTATTTCCCAAAAACAGCGCAATTCGGGCTCAAGTAGATGTTTGGGGTGACGGAAACTCGGTGACCGGCCTACCTGANATGAGCCCCAAGAAGGGTGAAACCGGTCGTGGGTTGTCGAAGAGTTTTCATCAGCCTTGTGAATAGTTAGCCTTTTTGTTGTATCTGACAGTAGATATCTTCAGGAAAATGGTGCACCAAGGCATGGAAAGTATCGTGATCACTCGGAAGGAAACGATTTTCTACATTCTAGCTGACAAGATATTTTATCGGAGCCATTTCTACTTCGCTAGCCGTATGGCAGCCGAAGAATTCTAGGTTGCAGTCGGGGCCCTGTAACATGATAGCGCTGAGATTTCTGATGATATCAGCAGGGTTTGTGACAAGGCGTTTTAAAGATATTTGGGTTTTTACGCCGCATATCAGACTGCTTAGTCAAACTGTACATTTAGGTCACTGTCGATAAAGAGTCGACCTGAAAACTGTCTAGGGTAGCTTCCTACAAGCATGAGTCTTCTAGCTGAAAAGCCGAGAAGCGCTGTAAAGCTGCTTCATCCTTATGGGGATTCATCAGCAGTGCACACCATTCGTAACTTCGGAGAGTCTCCAATTTGGGATCTCCAGGCTAGTAGTTAGAACTTTTTGGCCACAAGCGGCTAATAAGCAGTGTGATTAGCTATCACTAAGACAGAACATAGCGCCGCTCACGTGATCCACATCACGTGGTCTTAGTGTTGACTTGCTCCACGAGCAACGACTTTTCAGATAGAAGTTTCGGATTTTAACACCAATCTGCTCAGTGTACACTCACGCGGACAATAATATACTAAGGTGGAAACCAAATCTCCGGCAGAACATTGATCTCCTCGTGCGAACGGGGAAAAAGGAGACTTATTTTTGCGTGTTCGCAAACGAGGAGTGAAGGTAGAAGCATTCTTCCATCCCAGTGCTATGTTAAACAGGTTGTCCTAATGTATTATTTTATCAGGGCCATAGCAGCTACCGTGTAAAGCTTCGACAAACTTCAAAGCCTATTAGGCCACATATTTTCCGCTACGTCTAGAGTATTGTTAACGTGTAGCAGAGCCCCACTGGTTGGAGTAACTGCATTGGATTCAAATTTTAAAGAGTACGGCGAGAAGTATTTTCATTACCATCAAAGTTCCGGGCTGGGAGGTCTGATTTGGTTAACTAAATAATTTTTTGCAATTTTGAATGTGATCTGACCAGGGCATCGCATCAATACCCTGCGCCAGAATTGAGCCAAACCATCACTACAAAGTAACCCTGTAACAACCAAGAGTCGTTTGAGCCCTGAACCATGCTTAGTTTTTCATCTTATGAAGATTGCGTTCTATCGTTGTAGCGTAGTGAAACGATTAAGGTGTGGTGGCTCCAGCCCCTTTGCTGACAATCAAGCAACACAAATAACTATGATGACGGGGGTGGATCAAATGTTTCTAACCCTCAAGTACTAACAAAATGCCGGATATTTCCTACTGCCTTATCCTAAAGAATAAAGTTAAACTCTGAATTCCTGTCGCGTACCAATTCGAAGCATTCCCTGTCAGCATCATGGCCCTACAATGCAGTGAAGGGTTACTTAACAGACTGATACGGCTACCACATCAATCCCACCTCACATTGATAACTGCATTTCTGTTTTCCTCCGGAGCCAATTTAATGCATGAATAAGCTTTCTCCTCCAACCAGAAAAAAACTCTAAAAGCAATTTTATTTGCTCTATTTCACATGATTTTCTGAGAACCCAGACATTCGAAGGACTGTTAGATACAACCGTCGTTGACCAAATGAGGCAGTCAACAATTCAAATTTGAGTGCCTTTTCAAACATCCTCTTCTGCCACAAAGTCGGTGAAACGCTTTCCCAAGTGGATTAACTTCAATCACAACGGATCAGTTGTTGCATAGCAAAGCGATATTGTCCAAATCCGGTCACCCGAATTGCGATCATTTTACTGTCAAAATAGCAGACACCGTCGTAGATGAAAACATAAACTGAGGGAAAAGTGAGTAATTTGCTGTCAAAGCGTTCGACAAAAACGCCATTAGACTTCATTTACCGTCGTGGTGAAACAAATGGTCGCGAATTTGGTATACCATAGACTAATGATAATTTTAACATCGACTCAGATTGTATTTATATAAATGAAACAGAGTGAGAGGTTATTATTTCAGAAAGATTTAAAATCAGTCGATAGACTGTCTCTCAAATGGCTCGGTATCTTGTGCGAGGCTAAGCAGGGGTGGAAAAATCACGAGTAAGAATAATATATGCTTTTTACTTAATAATCGTAGCCTTTTTTACAAATTTGACATAAACGTACTCGTAAATCTAACCTTCCTCCAATCTGCCATTTCGAAAATGGTAGACAGCCTTTTAAGGTTATATTAGCAAGCAAGGCAGGGAATCGCACTCACCCAGTTATACACTAATGGTTTTCCCTTACTGATGACCAAATCTTCGCAAACAACTCTAAGCTTGGGAAAACGGACAAAATTTGAGTTACAGACAGTCAGATGCATAGCAGATATGTACATATTTGGTGAACAATTCTGTCTTTGAAGGTGCCATTCTCTAGTTTTCCAATATTCTTACGCAACAAATCAAACAAAACGGAACAAAGATTGGGTCTTTGAAAATCTCAACAACGGGTAATGTGTACTTTTAGTTGAATATAAGTCGAACACACCACTTTGAATAAAACGAAGCCTAAAGTGAACAACGTTCAAGAAGCTGCTCATTTAGTTTGTCTGGCTTTTCTTAAATTATTAGGGTAACCAAACATTGAGAATTTTTGACACACCAAAGATGCGCAAGGAAGCATGGTAATCAGACAAAAAATCACTTTGACTTATAAAATTGAAAAATTCTAAAGAATAGCTGGAAGTCCCTGTGGTTTTGTCAAAAAACTTAGGCAAAAAACATCATAGTGAAGTCTATCTCAGCTTGGATGTATATCCTCCGTACACCAGAGCACCTAGCTTTAAAAGCCTTGAAATTTTACACCGTGTGTTAAAACAAAATGCATCCTCAGATGCACGCACTAACCACGGAAAGATGTTCGAGTTTTGTCTACACTCAACTTTTTTCCACATCCAAACAGCGTGAGCTGGCGGTGTGTCGTACTGCGTCGATGTGTAGGCGTACAGCAATGCTGTGTTTGTGCTGTCTTGTTGACGAAGAGGAGGGTTGCCTCTTACTATGACCGGTCGTTTTGACAACCGGTCTATTTTATTAGGTGGTTGGCTAGCTCCATGAGTGAGCAGCATCCAGATGACATTCAAGCTGAAACATCCTATTCTTTCTGCTTGATCTCTGAGTTTCATATACCACGGTTATCCAAATGTACCTTATTTATTTTGTCCAGCTATTATGGGTGCAAAAATTGAGCCAATCCGTGATAAAATATGTGGGATATATCTTCCAGTGCCCACTCCCAATTTTACTTGAAATACGGTCATCGATCAGCGATAGAAAAGGGCAGTGCTTGATAAGTATGTTCTTGAAGCATTCATAAAACAGAGAATTTAGTGTGCAGCAGAGTACTCTGGCTAATAAACTACCCTGAATTTTTCTGAAACCATCAAACTTTCATTGTTATTACGCCCTCTTCCGCCCGTGAGTTCTTCTATTTTTAGCCTCTGCTTCTCAACATTCAATCAGGTTAACTTAGCGCTTCTCTTTCTCCTGCACACTGAGCTTATTTAAAAACCTACTCAAGGCAATAGCACATCCAAACTACCCCGCTGTTTTTAACCGTCTCTGAAAGAGAAATTAAATGATGGCATTTGTTTCTTGCCACAGTAGTTGGCAGTGGTATCCGATAGCACACGGTCAATGTAAGATTACGGAGCTGTCTCGCCAGCTTATTGCATGAAGCAACAGCTCAATGGATGTTCGGACAGGTATTCCCCCAAGTAACAGTGAGCGACGCTGTAAAATCCATTATAGCAATAGGAATTCATCCAATCCCAGCCAACTTGTTCTGCATTGCTACTTGGAGAACGAACATGACACCCAGTGTGATTATGGGATGTGGTCTTGTTTAACAATTTTGCACGCTCACTGACCACGTTATAATGAATGGTGCTTTGAATGAGAGTGCTTCGGAGACATCGTCCTGTAATTTTTGATGCCATGAGAAGCGTTTCTCTAAAGAATTTGTTGAGGCAATTCTACATGTACCATTCTGTCTACTGAAAGACTATACTTCTTTCGACTAGATTGACAGTCGCTTAAAAAAGGATTTGATCTGTTTATAGTGAACCTGCTTCTTGAATGGATATACTGCCTTTTGTT